TATGACAATGTTAATGCTAATTTTTGCTAGGGAAGAACAGGCTCAAAACCATTAAAACAAACTGTAATTACTGGGAAAATAGAACACTCATCTTCTCAAAGGGTCTTTCAGTACAACCGAATGCAAGACTTTTTTAGGTGACCAAAAGGTCACAGTTAACTTTCTTGACCTATAAGCCTTCATAACATTTAAATGGACGAGTTATATAAAAAAAATCAACCCCATAAGAACAGGTAAATTAGCTTAGAGACCAACATTGTTTTTTTGTGCCAGGCTGTTAACATGTTTATTTCTGCGATAAAGTTGGACATTTTAACATGGGGGTCTATGGGGGATTGACTTGCTCCTGGAGCCAGCCTCAGGTGGCCATTAGAGGAACTGCAGTTTTTGGCACTTCCACATTTGCTTCCGCCCCAGAGGTTGCTGCTTTGTTGCTATGAGTCAGTGTGGTGAGCCGTGACTCGGATGCAGCCTTTGTCACACATTTTTCCGTTAAGTTGCTCAGATAGGCATGACTTCTTGTGACTGTTTACATCCCACATTGGTGAGAGGCAGCCTTTGTTTTTCCTGACACACAGCAGCTCCTTTCAGTATCTGAGCGAGTCACACACAGCTTCTCTCACAACTGACCCAGTGTAATTGTAATTCAGCCCATTAATGAGCCAAGTAAAATGCCCTTTATGGAAACGACAACAGTAAAAGAGCTTATACTGTGGCAACTGTTGTTTTACTTGGTTGAACAACAAATTAGATAACTAGCAACCTCGGCTCCCTTTTCTTTCCACTGTGCTGTTCAGCAAAGATAACCACGTTTACTTTATCTAGATTGGCACTGGCCACAGGCCCATTTCTGCACACCTTTTCTGTGCAGCCTCTACATCTCCAGATTCTGCCATTTTGAGCATGTTACATCATGCTGTCTAAATGCATGACGTGCAGCGTGCTCCTGTTACAGCACAAAACCAAAGACTGCGTATCAAGACAGAAAAAAATCAAAGTTGAAATACTATCCATTTGTGTATTGATAGCAAAAACATGCTTGACTGAAAATCGAAATTCCATTGCATCACAGGATGCGGAGGGATCACGTGAAACAGGCTGTAATTTGTAGACTTAAGAAGTAGATTCCTTCTATAGAAGCAGGGCTTATTAAGAGACAACAGATGCTCCTGGTTTCCTGTGGAGTGGGATGAAACCAGAGCCTTTGTTACTGAAGATGCCCCGGTGCTGAGCTCCACTGCGTGTCTGGAGTGTGAATAAAATGCCAATTTCTTTAGCCACCGTCCATGGTGAGGTTTAATTTTAGACCAATCACTTGCTCACCATGTGCAAACACCCCTGCAGTTGCTAATGCATATCTGTTATTCTCTTTCTCTGTCTGTCTCGCTCTTCATAGCTCGCTGTCACTCTCTCCCACTCCTCTCATTCTGTATTATTTGGGAGTCGGAGGCATTTTAACCCAATCCTCTGTTAACCCTGATTGTGCTCAGCCTGCACCAGTTTAGTGTTTACAGCTGCGTATCAGCACGCCAAGCTATGACAAAAGCAAAACATTGCACAAATCTCCGCAATTCCGCAGCTAACAAAGCAGATCAACACCTCCACTGTTTACAAACCGAGTCAGGTTACATGCAGTCTGCCACACTGGCATGACCTGCAATTAAACAGAGACACAGTGGATTACATTTCATAACAGGAAGGCATGGAATCACAGTTATGACGCGTTGCCTCTAAATAGCAACTAAAACGCAGTCATCCACAATCCACAGCTCCACATTCTATTGTCCCACTGAAAGTAATCATCCTGCCAAGGTTTTCATTTGGATACTGAATAATTGATTTGGCACACGCCCACAGTTTTGTGCAGCCATTGTGTTCTTTCTCATCACAAATCCTTACCCAAGGTTTTCATACTGCTACAGGTTATTTTGTGCACTACCCTAGCTGGGTACGACAAAATCAAATATCAATGCCTCAATATTCAATGAAGTGCAGATAATCTGGAGATGATTATTGGTCCTGTTCATAGTTAACACACAAAAAATGTTGAGAAATGAGCCTGAGCAAAGCTTGACCCAATCCAAACAGACCTGATGATAATTAGACCCAATCTAAACTGCAGTGGACCTGAACAGAGAGAACACTATCACAGACAGCAGAATGATATGATATTAATTAACAAGAAGAAATATAATAATAACAATGTCTGAGGAACAAATGTAAAGTCATCGAAGCTAATTCCAAAGATGATTATTTTATATGCTTCAAAGACTAATGCATAGAAATAATTTAAAGTGCTGTTATCACCTCCTGCCCCCCAAATGAAACAGTCTGCAGCCAATTGCGAGATATTTAGACAGAAGATAATCATTTTATTACCAGTTTAATATCTGTAAATCAAATTCAACAAAATTATTGTCAAGCCCTTCATATCAGCTCAGGTATTAGACTTATTGAAACAGACCCCAGATTTGTGACACTAGAACAAGACCCTACCTGATTGGGTTGGGTTTCTGTTCCTCAAAACCAGGTGGAACCGTTAAGATCTTTACCTCAGAACCCAGACATACATGGATCCAACCTGTGATGAGGGAAAGCAAGAAGCCTTTCTGGTATACTAAGCTTTTTGTCACATTTTGTCACAAGCCTAAAAGCTTAAGCCACACTGCTCTGCACTGTAAACCCAGATAGGTCAATTGTGCTTGAAATTTTTGAGTTAATTGTTTTCGCTTGAATTATTTTGAGTAATTAAGTCATGAATTCATTAATTAATTACTTTATGTAGAATCAACTTCAATGCCAAAAGTGCTGGACTCAACTATGTGAGTTGAATGCACTAAAAGACAAATTATTTGTACTTAGATTCTACAGTAAAATCAACTTGTTTTCCAAACATTCAGCTCAGCATTTTAAGTTGAGAGAACTCAAATTGTGTCTTGTTCTCCAGTTCACACACAACACAGTACATTTATTATTTTTTTCATTTAAAATTCAAAGGAGCACTAAAACTCATCTAATGTCAGTCGAAAAATAATAGCCAGAGAAAATATTGGTGCTTTTGACAAAATGTAACTTAAAGTCCAAACAACTTATCTACTGCTGAGGAGAAGGTTGCTTTAGTGAGATACAGACGACAATATGAAGCAAAAAAAAAAAAGGTGGCTGCAGATGAGGGTGTGTGTTCCAGGCTACAACTTGACATGTTGAAGTCTGTTTATCTCAGATATGCTCATGAAAACAATGTGGCCCTCACAATAGTACAGTATACTAAGAGTAATTAAGTTATGCGTTCATACTCAATATTTTAAGTGATATTTACTTAGATTGTTGAAATAGACACAACATACAGTCAAACAGTGTCATATTTTCTACAATAGATTTGGGCACTTAAATGCAGCCTTTAAAACAAAGAAAATAAACTGTTACAATTAATGTATAATAATAGTATATACAAATTCTAGTCTAATTTCACAATACCAGTAGTAAATCTATATTTGCTATCCTATGCCTTTATTTCATAAACAACGTCAACAGTATCGTCTTTACTAAACTGATATTTATACCTGAAGCAGCTCTAATTTCCCCTCCCCTCTCACTTTCTGCCAGGCAGTCCTGAGCCCCAGAAATAGCAGCACTGGTGTATGACTCATGTTTTGAGCGATCTGAGATGCCTGATGAGAAAGGCACAAAAAAAGGGGGCTCATTAGTCATGTGCAACACCACCAAAAGAAAGACATTTAAGGGAGGCATCTGAGGGCACTGGGTCAGTGAATGTCCAGTGTAAATCCTCCACCCAAACTCAGTGACCTCCATCAATCAGCTCCTTCCTTGGCCCTCATGCCCTACACCTCTAATCAACGAAGCCTTGCACATTATTTCTCAAGTCCATTCACTGGCACTCCTTTTTCTCAGCCCTGAGTCAAAGACCGAAATCCGCCCCTTTTCCACATCTCCTGCATTCCCAAGAGTCCCCTTCCAGTTTCTTTCATCTCCCATCCTATCATTTGCTCCTGTCTTTCATCTGCTTGCTTCAGTATTCCATCCACCCTCTTGCCTTCATCACTAGTCTATTACCCAACCTCACCCAGCCCCCCAACTTCTTCATGTAACTTCCACCATCATCTTCTGTCACCATCCACCCTGCTCTTATTCATCCAATAAGCCTACCATTAATTGAATAATAATTCATCCAAAGCCTACCTTATTATATTTCTTTTACTCTCAGACTAAATCTGCCAGCTGTGTGCTCCTCTTATCGTCTATCATCTGCCTTGATTCTCCCAACCATCCATCCTGGATCTTCAGCTCTGCTTCCTGCCCCTCCCTTTACCTTTTACTTCCTCCCAACCCTTCCAGGTCCCTTATCAAAAAGTAGGGAATTCTGAATATTCCTAATATTCACACCTTGCTACCACAACCCTACACCTCCACCCTCTTCTTCAGCTGCCACTTCCCCATGCTACATCCCCACATTACCCAACCAACACGTAGCACTGAACCCTCCCTTCTCCTCCATCCACCCTCTGGTTCAGCCCCCACTTTCCTCCTTCTCCATCTCCAGCTTTAGCAACCCCCACTTCCCAACAGAATCCATCATCCTCTTCTCCTCTCGGGCTCGCATCCAGAGCGGCGGTGCCCTGATGGAGGTCAGCCTGGTCTCTTTCTGCCGTGAGAGACAGGAAGGCAAGGTGAACTGCTCTCAACAGCTGTCATTGCGCTGTACGGCGGGTGAGGAGGGAGAGGGAGAGAGACAGAGAGGAGGACAGTGTGATAGAGGGAGAGCGAGGGCAGGAGGGTAGAAGCAGAGCGAGAGGGAGAGAGAAGAAGAGAGAGAGAGAAAGTGGTCCGGCGCTCACAGCTCACATCGCTGGCTGGCTGGCTGGCTCGCTCACTGTTGACGAATGAGCTGTCTACCCACGGGGCTGGGAAACGGCAGCTTGTGACAAGCTGGGGAGAGAGGAACATGAATGTAATGCGTACCTTGCCTCGCTTGCTTTCAGATACCGGCCAGAAGAAGACTCCAGAGAAGAAGGATGGGAGGCGCATGTCGTTCCAGAGACCCAAAGGGACCATTGAATATTCTGTGAGTAACGCACGAGCAACTCTGCTCTTTCTATGTTAATGCCATTATGTGTTTTTGACTGCTCCCGTGCTCCTACTGCTGCTTCTGTGTGTGTCCGCTGCTGCTGGTGGTTCTGTAGCTCTGACTAGCTCCAGTAATATTCTAGCTGTAGCTGTTGTGTTTGTGTTGTGAAGGCACCGTGTCAGACCATGCTTGGTAGCTCATTAGTGAGGGGGAGAAGCATTTTGTGGATTTTGCGAGTGTAACACGTGTACCTCGTTCTCAAAGTGTTTACATAAAGAGGACAGTGTGTTTGTGTGTGTGTGTGTGTGTGTGTGTGTGTGTACAGACGTGCAGGGTGGCTGATCGTAAGCTTATGGAAACAATGTATCCTCTGTTAAAGAGTCCCTGTGCAGCAACACAACGCTCAGCTCCATTTTGCATGTTGATGTATAGGAAGGAGAGAGGAATTGTAGCACATCCGTATGTTTCCTTAAGCTGGATCAGACGAGGACAGGCAGGCAGGAGCGCTGGCAGGATGTGTATTTGTTTTTCCATTCGTTGTCTGCCACGTATCGGAGAGCATTCCACCACAGAGCTTACAGTGCTTGCGAATGACCTTCCAACTGCGTTGTCATTTCTATTGATTTAGCTGTTGTGTAGGAGAAGGGGAGGGGGATGAGGCGATGGAGAGAGAGAGAGGAGAGAGGGAGCTCTGGTTCCCTGGTGTGAGCTGAAAATGGAGCCTGTCTCTGCTTTGCCTGGTTGTGTTCTTCAAATGACCCTCAAATCCAGCTGCAGTCAGACTGCTTTTCCTCCGCTCTCTCTCCGTGGCAACAGTGAGGAGTGGGATTGCTGTGGCTCAGCTCCGGCTGTCTGCCTGTCTGCTGGAAAGAGGGGAAGAGAGGAAGGAGAGAAGTAAGGAAAGGGAGGGAGGGAGGGAGCAGGGTTTGTGGTCTCTTACTGACATTCCACTCTCCTCTCCCAAACTCCGGCTCCAGGAGCTTCTGTTGGTTTTACTGTGTTTGCCTCCCTTTCCCCATCTCCAACACCTCAGCAACAGAGACACCTCCTCCACATCCACCACCTCCCCAACCTGTCAGTCATCCAACACCTGCTGATTGACAAGGCCCTTGTTTACCTTGCTGGGGCTTGAACAACTTCAACCACTACAACAGGATATTTGTCAGAGGCAAAGCACTGTGTCACGGCCCTGATATGAACTGATAAAGGCCACAACAACTCAGCAAGATGGACAGAAATGTTGGTGGTTAAGAAAAATAGGGAGAAATTTAGTGTTTAGTATGTGGAGAAAAGATTCACATCTCAATCACACAGGTTACCATCCTGTTCTTGTCAGCGGCCACTCTCTTGTGCTCTTTTCTCCTTTTTACCTCCCACTAGTTTGCTGCTAGTGTGATGGATGGATCGAGTGCTGCCAGTGATTGTGTCCTGTAGCCTGACATGCTGCAGCAGCACGCAGCAAGGATGCTCGGGGCCGCCAAGAGTGTTTAAGGCAATATAACCAAACCTCCTCTACACTGTGAGACACATGGTCTCCAGTGTCCCAATGATTTGAGAAGTGGCTTTATCTTAAACTCATCTCCTGTGCCGGTGGATGGCCGGCAATGTTTCCTTATTTCGCTCTACAGCAGATACGGTTTTAATCTATTGCCCGGCACACACAGGAAAAAGGAGGGTTTCCTCTTACGCCGCCTTATCAATACAATCTCCCTCCCTCCCCCTCCCGCTCCCCCCTCTCACCCCTTTACCTCACACACAGGCTTCTTTCTCTGTCCCTTTTTTTTTCATGTTGAGAAATAACCTGAGCAGCTGCAAGCCATCTGCCTAGACACTGATAACGCCAGTCCATTCAGTCCAGCTATTGGCTGACCTGCATCCAATTAAAAAAGTGTTTGAAGTCTGTGGGAACAACCGAGATAGATGAGGAGACAGGAAGACGAAGTTACAGAGGCAAAGAGCAGCGCAGAGGTGAGCCACGCAGGGGGGGCTCTCTTTTCCCACTGACTGGCTGAGAGGACGGCCAGTCAAAGTCAAAGAATTCAAGGAACTGAGAGAGTGCAGGCCACACATATTTATCTCCAGACACACCAGCTGTAGAACACCATGGACATAGATGCCCCAGTTGGGATGCTATTTTGGATTTTGCATGAACTCTGGGGATCCGCAGGGTGTCTTGACTAGCGGATAGGTTTAAAGGAAAATTCTGGCTTACTACAACTTTGGTGTTAGCTTTGGAACTTTAGAAATCGTGGAGAAATACACGTCTATTTCAGAGAGGTGCTCGCAGGCAGACATCAAAAAAAGAACCGCAAAGCCTCTGACTCATTATTTCAGTTTCGTGGCTTTGGCCGTCATTTCTGTTAGTTATTAAAACATGGAGATGATGGGACAGCCCAGTCTGCAGCTGCCCAGGCTGAAGTCTTACATCGCCATCAGGGCCATGCCATGATGTGGAGCAGAGATGGACATCTGAGAGACACCCCCCTCCCCATTGGATGCTAATCCTTTTCAGTGATAAAGAGGATCAGCAAACTTTCTGTTGCTGCCATTACACAGAACGCTCAGTTCAACGTCTGCTGGTTAGCATGAGCTAACAACAGCATCAGTGGCTAATATCTGTCACCGAGCCATCAGAAAGGTCCCAACAAACTCACAACAACACCAAAATGGCTCAACTCTGTCTTTAATCCCGTTTAGTCACGTTAGCTGTGTAATGCTAACAGCCCTGTCACTGAGTGTGTGTGGGGCAGGTGAACACTACATCACCAGCACAGAGCTCACACTCCCACAGCAGTAGTATCATGATAAACAACTTGTCGGTTAATGGTTCATTATTGTTTAACGAGGGTTGACTTGACTGAAAAACCATTTAAAATTAGCATCCTACTGGCCAAGTGATGACAACATCTGTCACCTCTCTGCTGCTTGCTATCAAATAGAGGTATATATGCCTCCAGATAATACAGTCTGGTTGTTTTTCTAAACCTTAACAACTATGGCCAAAACTACAAGGATAACCTCTATGTTGTGATAAACTGGAATTATTCCATAATGTGGAGCCATGTTTATTATTTTGGCCTGTCCCTCCCTACACACACTCTGTTTCAGTCTTGCAGTGCTCTCAGCAGAACTGGCACAGCAAAACTCTCATTACATTTTGTATAGTGACACTAGAGAGCAGTTTAAGGGGAAAGGTTGTCTGAATTCCAGTCTGTAGGTCGGGAGAAAGAGGGAGGCTGTCAGCATTCATGTTGTTGTCGTTCTGGCCATAAATATGATCAGTCAGATAGCATGACCAACTTTGTGCGCTCATGGATTTTAGTAAAACAGTGGTTATGCCACTCGGCCATTTCCCCTAAAATACATGTTAACTTCTACATTTAGGTTAGGCTATAAGCTGTCAGATGTCAGGATAAAGTTTGTACAGACATTCATGGTGCCCACACTGGGAGACTTGGTAACGTGAGGTTTTCAAAAAATGATTTGAATGATAATCAAAATGAACAAGAGAACACTAACTGTTTGGAATTTTACCGTGGTTTATCGGGAAACCGGTTACCGTTTCACTACGAGTCTCAACAACTTTTGGATAATCATGAAATTTGGTACACATTGTTGCATTCATCAGGATGAATTGTGGTAATTTTGGTAGTGCAAGCTTTCCCACAAATTCATTTATTTGTGGCGGGCCACCAAGATTATAACATCTGCCGCCACATTTTGATTTTCTATTTTTGGAGCTGGACTGTTCATTAGGAGTGCCGCTGTACATTACCAGTTGTTATTTGCTCCACAGATGGAGCAGCACAACGCCAGACACAGTGAAAGTGAAACTTAACCTTCATCACACTGGGTACGCTGGTTTGCTTTTACTCACAAACAGCTGCTCCTTTCATCCATCGATCTGATCAGCTTTAATTGAATCAACTGATCAGTTATCCACCTCGCAACTCAAAACTCAACAATCTGCTGCACTGCATTTATAGACCTGCTAAAATCTCTGAATTTAGAAAGGCGACACCTGATACAAGGACACACAGGCAAGTGAAAAACAAAAACATGGTTGTCCCCCCCACTGACATTGCCATCAGCCTCAGCTTTATTACAGCTGTTGATCAGCTTTATGGTAAACACACCTACTAAACATCAGCTTGTCATTTTAAGCATGTTTGCATGCTAGAATTAGCAACACTGCTGTGCCCGGTGTTGTGAGCCAAGTGTGTACTGAAATATATATATGTTCAATGGTAATTAAGAAAGATTTGGAGATAACAACATGTCTACACAGTTAATCTTCAGTTAACATGTTTTGTAAATGCTCCTCTACTGTATATGATTTACAGTATGTACCTGACATGTCACGATTCTACCAGATGTGAAGATGATCAGTCACCAGTCTGCAGGTTGATGGATTTTTGCTGGGCTTAAAGGAAGCACTGTGGGCATTAGAGGACTTGCGGACATTAGATGAGTCATACACTAATCGCAAGGTGTGTGTGCATGCGCACATGGAGAGACACACACATCGGCAGCAATCTTAACTCCGCACCCTCCTGACAATCAGTCACTCTGATTGCATTATTCACTGCTGGGTAGAAGAGGAGATCCCACTGTTTCAGCTCTTTCACAGCTCTCTGTCTGAGAGTAGGAGAACAAGTCAAACGATGATGGAGAAATGATGGGATCGGAGGGGTGTGTGGATGGCGACGTTAAAAGGGATGGAGGAGGGAGTGGAGGGGAATGCATGTAGAGAAGATGGAGACTGATGATGAGTAGCTTAATGGGTAAAAGAGCAGACTAATACAAGGCCCGGATGTCAGCATCTCACAGTGTTACCTTATTTTACCTATTGCTCATGCTTCACCTACGTGTTGGATCCTGTTATACTTGTTTGAAGTTAACTAAAGAGAAAAGATACCGAGATAGAACAATATTTAAGTTATCTTTCATTTTATTGAGAATGTATTACTGGCCACAGGCGATAAATGGCTTGTTTT